TAAACACTAGACCCTAAACCCTAAACCCTAAAATGCTAACCCTAAACCCTAAACCCTAACTGTAAATCCTAAACACAAACCCTAAACCCTAAATCATAAACCCTAAACCCTAAACCCAAAACCTAAACCCTAAACCATAAACAATAAATCCTAAACCCTAAACTCTAAGCCATCAACCCTAAACCTTAAACCTTAGACCCTAAGCCCTATACCCTAAACCCTAAACTCTAAACCCCAAACCCTATACCCTAAACCCTAAACTCTAAACTCCAAACCCAAAACCTAAAATCCTAAGCCCTAAACCCTAAACCCTAAACCCTATACTCTAAACGCTAAATGCTAAACCGCAAAGCCTATACCCTAAACCCTATACTCTAACCCTAAACCCTAAACCATAAATTCTAAACACTAAACCCTGAAACCTATACCCTAAATCCAAACTCTAAACTCTAAACCCTAAACCCTAAACCCTAACCCCTAAACCTTAAATCTAAACCCTAAACCCTAAACCCTAAACCATAAATCCTAAACATTAAAATCTAAACCCTAAACCATAAACCATAAACCATAAATCTTAAACCCTATCGCTTCCCCAGTTCCTAATTTTTTTCTCTCTCTAATTTCTCTCTCTACGCGGGACTCTCTCAAAAATCTGCACAGCTGCTCCAGTTACAACGACTAGTTCACCAGCTGGAATGGCACGTGTGCCGCCGATGAACCTTTTCAGGCTGCCGGACCAAAGCCATCTGAGGCGCTCTGAGGAGACGAACAAAACCTACCAATAATCACCATCTAATTCATCCTACAACTCCACGAATTTGTGAAATACAGAGGCGATGAATATCACGATTTCAGAAAGGGAGCTGGAAGGGATTCATAAAATTATTTCCCCAGATCGCGATAAGTTGATTCATCGAAAACTATTTAGTGGGAATGATTTTACTAATCAAGGGCTACATCATACTCAAAAATCACATGATTCCATCCCGCCAATTCCGAGATCTGATGAGGCGATTTCTGGGAAATTCACCACAAATTCACCTGAGCTGCGCCTTCAGATTCGTCCAACTTCCCACCAATTTCATGGCGATTTGACCACTGGGGATTCTTCACCTGGTGAAGAGGTACATCTCACAGCAATCTCAAGTAAAATGGCCGGTCAAATCATCGGCGACAAGAACTCCGTTGAGCAAGCAGTCGAAGGTGACGCCGGCGCTATTAGGGGCAATTGTTCGTTGGACGAGGAGGTCCACCTCATCAACATATCCACCAGTTTAGCTCGGGAACACGGCTAGAATGAGATTCAAACAAGTTTCAAAAATTCTATAACCAATCCACAAAATGAACTTGAAGAACTCAATTGCAGAATTAAAGAACAACAGCAATAGACATTTTCCCAAGGTCAAGCAGGGCCTAATGGTCAAAAACAAGACAACAATGCTATAAAAAAATAGAAAATGGAGATGTAATCTACACAAGTAGCTACGCGACTATATCAATGCCAAAATGATCAGCAGGACAATACAAGTTCTACTAATTTGGAAGTCATTGATGTGGATAATTCATCACATTTCTTATTTGGAGTGAAACCAATGGACACAATTCCTAGCAATGGAGGACAACAAAGACCAGGTATGATTCCTAAGTATAATAATGAACTTTAGCATGAATATATGCAAAAACAGCAGCAAACAAATACCACTTCATTAAGCAAAAACCCAAGCGTGGAGAGCACTCAGGCAGCTAAGTCCCCTCAGTCTAACTCTAGTAGAAATGTTGTTAACTTGAGTAGTAGTTATGGCCATGTGAATGATAATGCAAATGGGCAAAAAAAAATGTTATGAGGGATGAGCAGGAAAAAGGCAGGGGAGACACTGAAACCCAGCAGCAGGTTAATCGACATCAAAGTAGTGCGCGAGATAAAAATTTATCTCAACCACCTGATCAAGGAGGGAATATTGAACCAAATAACTATCATAAGGAATCCCCTAAAGTTTCTAGCAATTTTGATAGACATACCAGTTCCAATCAAAAGAGTCAGCAAATAAATCAGCTAAACCAATCCAAAGAGCCCATCAATCCAAACGAGAACCAAAATACCAAACATAATCAGAGTGTAGAACCTGCTCCATACACCGTGGTGCAGACTCTAGCTTCTAGGCTCAGGAAAATTCATGCTACACAAACTACTTCTATAGAACTTGTTCCCCCCAGGCACACTACTAAACAGGGCCAACCTGTTGTGATCTATGATATTGATGATTTCATGAACAAATTAGCTGTGGACTGTAAATATATCCTTATAGGTAAATTCAGTACCGCCATGCCGAAGATAGAACTTATCAGGAAGAGCTTTATCCTACAAACTCAGCTGAATGGGGGGGGGGGGTCAATATTGCTCATTATAATTCTAGGCATGTGTTTATTGATTTAGAAAATGAATTGGACTATAACACTGTATGGACACAACAGAGAATGACCATTGAGGGCAAACTCATGAGAATACAAGCTTGGACTCCTAATTTTAGACCTGAAGAATAAACACATATTGTTCTTATATGGGTACTATTACCAGGCTTACCATGGCACTGCTTCAAGAAAGAATTCATCACTCCTCTGCTAGAGTCTGTGGGCAAAGTTTTATATTTAGATACAACTTCCATTAAACGAACTATAGCTAGTATGACCAAGGTAAAAGTCCAAGTAGACCTCACCAAGGCTAGACCTCGACATGTTTGGATTGGTTTGGATGATGAAGACCTCACTTATAGGGAGATGGCAACCAATTGAATATGAAAATATCCCTCCTTACTGTGCATACTGCAAACATCAAGGTCAAATGATAGGGGATTGTAATTTCAAAATAAGGGATGAGGACTTCAAACGAAGAAAAGAGTTAGGAGCAGAAATAAAAAAACATAAATAAAGGTGAACAAGGGCAACAAGGAAATGATCACAGACAAGTCAGGCCAAGAGAACAAGAGGAACAGCAACACCAAAACACCAAGGAATAGAGCAACTATCAACCACCTGAACATCAAAAGGAAGAAGAAACAATAAAGCACAGGAGGAGAAAACACAGAAGGCAGTGTGGAGACCAACCTCACCACAGAACAAAGTGTCAAAATTCTAATCGTAATTCTTTTACTAACCTTAACATGAAGGGAAACTAGACTCAAGATACTCAGGGGCATAACAACAATGAAGGGAAAACACCACAAGGACCACAAAACAGGTCTAAAACAGACCACAACCAAAAAGAACAGGCCATGCAAACAGGAAACCAAACAAATAACAATAGCACAGGTATTGATTCAATGCTCCTAATTCCCATAAACCCCAATACTTTATTTTCTGATGGTATTGCTGAAGTTGAAGGAGGGATGGATGGGGGATGTCAGGAGAGCCACACTAACCTGCAGGAACAGGGGTCCAAAGGGGAGAATTTGACTCATGTTATGCATGAGGGTACATACTTTACTACAGTCCAGCATCCTACTTTGGATCACCAACAGGTACAACAACAAGCACACTCATGGGCAAGAAGGCTGATTAATACTGAAAATAACAAGGAAAAATAGCAAGTGGAAGCAGGAACTGCAGATAAACAGAACAAAGGAGCCATGGCAAAAGATATGGGAGCCAAAGCAAGTACTAGCATCCAAGGAAACACTCCCAAAAGCAAGAACAAACCCAATAAGAAAAAGAGAGAGGCTGCAAGAAAGAGACAAAGCATACAACATGACAATGATCAGTAGGGGAAAAACAAAAAGAAGGGGAAGTTTGCAAGAAGTTAATTATGGTTGATGAGTAGTTTGGCATGGATATCACTCCTTTACAAACCCAATATATGAATCCTCCACCTACTGTCCCTCCAGATGGCAGGTCTGAAAAGTGTCAAATGAATAAAGGTCCTATAATCGATGAATATGTTGTTGACAACTCAGAGGATGAACCGGATGTGGATAATCAATCCCTCAAAGATCTTGATAAGAATGATGAGACTAGTGAGTTACTTATTAAAGTTTTTAGTCCTCATCCGGACAAAAACCTTGCAGATGAAATTCAACAGGTGGCTAATAGTCAGGGATTATCCCCTAGAGGACTACACAATGATAGATTAAAATTCAAAATTCAGGATATCAACACTATCACTGCTGGCAGACCAAACACTAGGTTGTTTACTTCCCGATCATCTCAATGATTAGTACAATTATTTGGAATGTGAGGGGGATCAACAAGGTGTAATCGAAAGACTCAAAATGCTCAAGAAGATGCATAACCTCTCTATCATTGCCATCATGGAACCTTTCTCAGACACTACTCATATTCAAAGTGTGAAAAATCAATTAGCTATGGAGCATGTTGTGAGTAGTTGCAATGGTAAAATCTTGCTTTTTTGGAATATGGATATTGACTGTGTAATACTAGAGGAGGATGAGCAATAAATTACTTGCGACTTTGGCCATAATGAACTCCAGAATCACTTCACCACCACATTTGTGTATGCCAAGTGTAAAGATCATCTCAGAAGGCCTTTATGGGATAGCATGCTATATCATTCTGCAGATGTTGATAGACCTTGGTGTTCTGTGGGAGGCTACAATGTTATTACTTTTATTGAAGAAAAGCTGGGAGGGGTTCCATACAACATGAGAAAAAGTCTAGAATTCATTGATGTTATTGAGGCTTGTGGTCTTATGGATTTAGGCTTCAGTGGACAGAAATTTACTTGGTCCAACAACAGGGGTATACAACAAAGAGTATGGAAAAGACTGGACAGAGCTCTAGTTACTGATGCCTGACTGGAAAAGATGCCTCAGACTACTATCACCCACTTACCTTCTGTAGGGTCTGATCACTGCCCCCTACTAATGGAAATGAGTGCTAGGGAAGATGATCATATCAAATATTTTAAATTTCTTAATTGTTGGACTGACCAACCTAGTTTCCTTGACATAGTTAAAGGCTGTTGGGAAAGGAATGTAGAGGGTAACAACATGTGGAAATTTCACCAGAAATTGAAAAGGTTGGCTAACACTCTTAACAACTGGTCCAAAAAGGAATTTGGGGACATTTTTGCTAAAGTCAAGGAATATGAGGAGAAGGTCAAAACAGTGGAGGATCAACTGATTCAAGACCATAGTGAGACTAACAGAACTATCCTTCATGAACTCAATGCTAAGTATATCAGATTCTTGAAGATAGAAGATTCCCTTTTGAAACAGAAAACTCAATTACAATGGTTCAAAGAGGGTGATTGCAATACAAAGTATTTCCACTCGCTGATAAGGGGAAGAAGAAGAAGGTTATTTATTCACAAGCTTATCAGGGAGGATGGGGAATGGATACAGGGAGATGATGTTATTGCTGAAACTGCATGTGACCATTTCCAGAAAATATTTACAGGAGATAACAATTTCATCAATGAGGGTGCCCAAGATTGTATACCTCGGATGATCAATAAGGAACAAAATTATAGTCTTACTGCCATGCCTAATCTGGAAGAGTTGAAGGAAGTAGTATTCTTTATGAATTCTAATTCTGCAGCTGGTCCAAATGGGATGAATGGATATTTTTTTTCAGAAATGTTGGCACATTATCAAGCATGATCTACTTGGTGTCATTCACGCATTCTTTTGTGGTCAAATGATTCCTAAGTATTTCTCTCATTCTTGCATTGTTCTTCTCCCTAAGGTGAAAAATCCCAACAAACTATCTGAATTCAGGCCCATCAGTCTAAGCAACTTCACTAGCAAGATCATATCTAAACTAGTAAGTTCTAGACTGAGTCCTATTTACCTAATTTGGTTTCTCTCAATCAATTTGGGTTTGTCAAAGGGAGAAGTATTTCAGAAAACATTACGCTCGCTCAAGAGATTATTCATCAGATTAAGAAACCTAATATTGGAAGCAGTGTTATTATTAAATTGGACATGGCTAAAGCATATGATAGGGTTTCTTAGTCTTACATATGTTTGGTGCTGAGAAGAATGGGGTTTGATGAAGTTCTTATTGATATGGTTTGGAGGATCATGGCTAACAATTGGTACTCTATTATCGTTAATGGCAAAATACATGGTTTCTTTCAATCCACTAGAGGTCTCAAGCAAGGCGATCCATTATCTCCTGCCCTATTTATTTTAGGTGCAAAAGTACTTTCTAGATCTCTGAACAGGCTTCACAACAACCCTGAGTATCATGGATTCTTCATGGAACCTAGAGGCCCCCAAGTGAACCACTTAAGTTTTGCGGATGACGTTATTCTCTTCACTTCTGGAAGACAGAAAACCCTGAAGCTCATCATGAAGACTCTGCATTCCTATAAGCAGTCCTCAGGCCAATTAGTTAACACAGATAAAAGCCACTTCATGGTTCATTCATGTGCTTTCAATAGTACAAGGGACAGAATCAAGAGAGTCACTGGCTTCAAGAAGAATGAGGGCCCTATCACCTACCTTGGTTGCCCCTTCTTTGTTGGTAGACCTAGGATTATTTATTTTTCTGACCTTATTAACAAAATTTTATGCAGAATCACAGGTTGTCAGACTAATCTTTTAAGTTATGGTGGTAGAGCAATCCTTGTCAAGCATGTGTTGCATTCCTTACGTATTCACCTATTAGCTTCAGTAATTCCTCCAGTTACTATCCTCAGGCAGATCCAAAGCATCACGACTGACTTCTTCTTGGGATAGAGGAATGAGAGGAAAAAATACCATTGGTCTTCATGGAAAAATTTAAGCTTTCCTTATGATGAAAGGGGGTGTTGGTATGAGGAATCTCAAAGATGTGTGTTTAGCCTTCCAATATAAATAATGGTGCATCTTTAGATCCAAACAGACCCTTTGGGGGGATTTTTTGAAAGCTAAATATTGCCAAAGGTCTAATCCTATTAGCAAGAAATGGGATACAGGGGAGTCTATGACATGGAAGCATCTTATGCATAACAAACACCAAGTCGAAAAGCACATTCAATGGAAGCTCAATTCTGGCAATTGTTCGTTTTGGTGGGATAATTGGCTTGGCATTGAATCTCTTGCTCACTAATCTATCGATAGCAATAGACTCAACAACATCACAATGGCAGAATTTTGGCTTGATGGACAGTGGAACTGGAATAAGCTTCTACAACAGGCACCTAACAGTCAACTGGCCAGCATCCTCTCCATACAGCTTTACATCCAGCAAGACATCCCAGACCTAGCAATCTGGAAACCAAGCATGGATGGAAACTTCAGCTGCTCATCTGTATGGAATGAGATCAGAGAAAAGAGGACCAAGACAAAATTCAACTCATTCATTTGACATAAAAGTATCCCTTTTAAGATTTCCTTTCTTTTGTGGAGAATAATAAGAGGTAAACTTCCTACTAACGAAAAACTACCCAGCTTTGGCAATGAACCAACAAAATTTTTTTGTTGTTGTAACAGGCCTGGTCTCGATACGATAGAACACACATTCAACACTGGACAATTCACGACATACGTGTGGAGAAGTTTTGCAAAAGCTACTGGAATCATCACAGATCACAGTTCCCTACCCCAACTCATTGTACAATAGTGGTCAGCTAAGTACAACAATGAAGCACACAAGCTACTACTACAAGCTACACCAATATTCATTTGTTGGAACCTTTGGAAGAATTGTTGTGCTAGTAAATATGGAGCCAAGTCGTTCAATGTTAGTCGAGTCAAATATGCAATCTACAAGGACAACTACAAACTAATGAATACAAGCTTCCCCCAAATTAAATGGCCTTCAAATTGGAAGGAATTGTTTCAGCTGGGAGAAAATTGTACTCATGATACCAAAGTGATACGCGTTAAGTGGATAAAACCTCTAGATCGATGGGTCAAAATCAACACGGATGGCAGCGCACTAAGCAACCCTGGCAGAATTGGAGCAGGTGGTATCCTAAGGGATCAAACGAGAGCAATGTTATTAGCTTTTGCTACCCCATTGGGGGAAGGCACTAACAACCAAGCTGAAATAGGAGCAGCCATATTTGGCATGACATGGGTACTTCAACTGGGCTACAAGAGTGTCTTTTTGGAAGTGGATTCGCAGCTACTGGTGGATTGGATCATGCAGAAAGCCAAACCTCCATGGAATATCACACACAACTACAACAGCTTTAGGAACTCATTAGACAAACACATAATTTTAGATGCAAACACACCTTCAGGGAGGCTAATTTTGTGGCTGACTCCCTATCAAAGTAAAGTCACAAATTTACATGTCCCCAAATATATTGCAACAACCAACAATTACCAAAAGAAGCAAGAGCCTACTATCAATTAGAAATGATCGATATGGCAAGTTTCAGAAGAAGGAAAATCAAGAGGATCAAAGAACCACCTTGATTTGACTTCAAACCTTTTCAACCTAGCTATGGTTGAAAATCATAGCTCTTTTGAATAGGTATAGTGTTTATTTTGTTTTTTTGTAAGGGGAGAGTCTCCCTTATTTCCGATTCCTAGATGCTTTGTATCGAGGAGAGTCCTCTCTTAGGTGCTTAGTTTCTTGGTTTATCTCTTTTGGAAGGTGATGAGTTGATTAACCATTAGGTAAGTCAACTACTGAACCACCATAGGATCGGAGCTTAGGTTTATGTCCCCCTCCTTGTACTTTTGCTTTATTTATGCTAATGCCTGGGGGTGTTGCTAAGCCCCTGACCCCCCCAAGGGTCGCTAAAATAATTAAAAAAATCCTAAATCCATCTTCCAGAGATTTCAAGCAATTTTGATGGAGAAAACACAACTAATAATCAAGCTAATCGATCAAATGATTCAATGAAGAATGTCCATGAACGGACAAGTCGAGATATGCATAGCACTGAAGGGAGTGACTCATTACCAATCTCACCTACAGAAATCAGCATCCAACTAGCTGCAAATCATCAGTTAGGGGCGAGAACTTCACACGAAGAAGGCAATGCAATACAGGAAAATAGTTTGGATGAGCAGTAGGCCAACGAAGCTACAAGGATTCTTAATTCTGAATATTCATCTGATGAAGCTCACTCTTCTAATTTTTCATTTGGTATTAAAGGTAATTCTACTAACATAATTCCAACTCCCATTACCTATCCAATGCATGTCGCAGCAATACAGGACAAGCCAACTGAGGAAATTGGACAAGTGTAGTAACAATGAAAGGACCAATTAGGCCAACTGAAGCAATCTAAAGGCAAGGAATTACAGACAGGTAATTCAGTTACAAAAATCAGTACTCAATCGTTGGCTGCTAACACTGAGACTTAGTCACATAATGTGATAAATGAGCACATCAGTAGGACTGTTGAAGTGTCAAAACAGGTACAAAACCAAGGTCACAAAGACAATGAAGGAAAGCAGGACCAATTGAAGGAAATAAATCAACAAGGAGTTAAAAATAGAACTCTTGATAGTAATGATAGAGCAAACATGGAATATCACAACAACTTTCCTAAGAATTCTAACAACTATACTAGATATGTCCCTAATCCACAAAGGAATAGAGATGATGCTTCCAAAGTGACCAATGATATAGCTTTGAACAATGGGAAACAACCGAATGCTCAACAGCAAAGCCAGGATCAAAACAATAATAAACAGGAAAGAATTCCAGAACCTGCTCCCTTCACCATTGTTCAATCTTTTGCTTCTCGTCTAAGGTACAATCAATCCAAAAATGAAATCCCTATTGTTTTGGATGCGCCTATACATACTGTTAGACGAGGGCTACCTGTTGTTTTACTTCAGGAGACTGATTATAGTATTAAGTTGGTTGAATTTTGTAAGCATACTCTTGTTGGTAAATTTACTAACACCATGCCCAAAATGGAGTTGATTAGAAGAAGCTTCACCCTCCAGACCCAGCTAACAGGGGGAGTGAAAATTAGTCACTACAACTCTAAACATGTGTACATTGATCTTGATAATGAATTTGATTATGTTACGGTGTGGACTAAACAAAAGATGAGTATAGAAGGTCAAATTATGAGAATTCAATCTTAGACCCCTGAATTTACAACTGAGGAAGAAACTCCTATAGTTCCTATTTGGGTAGCCTTACCTAAACTCCCTTGGCATTGTTACAATAAAGTCCTTTTGTCTACTCTCTTGGAATCTGTTGGAAAGGTTTTGTACTTAGACTCCCCAACCTCCCAAAGGACTAGAGGCAGTATGGCCAGGGTGAGGGTCCAGGTTGACCTAACTAAAGCAAGACCTCCTCACATTTGGATGGGGTTCAAGAATTCTGATCCAAACAAAGGGAGATGGCAAAAGATCCAATATGAAGGCATCCCGGATTATTGTAGGTACTGTAAACATCAAGGGCACATGGATAATGTGTGCACCATTAAAAGGAGAGATGAAGAATTCAAAAGGAGGAAATAAATGGAAACAGAAAAACAAAACAAAACGAAGAGTGAACAAGGTAATGGTATAACAGAACCAGGTACCAGGCAACAAGGCCATCAACACATAGTTCAAGAAAAAGATTACAAAGATGGTGAGGCCCAACGGCAAAAACAGGTACAACAGCAGCTCACAAACCAACAACAGGAAATCAGGAAGGGACTGCAGACCTATCATGAGCTGGCATTTATAGATCAGGAAGAGCAATGGCACGTTCAGAAAAGGAAACAACCAAAAAGCCAAGAGCAAACACTTCCCAAAACAGCATGGAGACCTGTATCACCACAATATAAGACAACCAAGAACAACATGCAGCAGACACCTTCCACAACAGGTATACTATCTAACATCCCTATTCATAAAAATTATACTAACTTAGTAATGCAGGAACAACCAAACAAAGATATTGCTGGGGATAGCACCAATAAAGGAAAAACAGATCATGAAGTGTAAACAATTGAAGGGTCAAGAGATGACTCACTTGTGGAATCGAATCATAATATAACAAATATGCTAAAAGATCATGTCACAGATAATTGTTATAACAAGACTTCATGTATTGACTTATCTCTCCCACTACCCCATTCCCCCAATGTTATCTATGTTGATGCTGAAAATTCTGATGAAGTTTGTGGAGGGATGGATGAAGGGTGTTAGGAGAAACCTACTAATTTGCAGGAATGGGTTACCAAAGGGGGGAGTTTGACTCATGTTCTGCATGAGGTTGTCCACACTGATCATAGGCTTGACCCTAGAGTCTCTGCTACCCCTATATCATTTCAAAATTCTCAGAATATTCCAAAAAATGTTAACAAAAATCACAAAGGGCAGATAGTTGACACTGGTCAAGTTTAGCATGATCCAGAAGACCCCACAGATTAGGTAACCCATACTTATAATCAGAATGGCCAGCAGACTCAAATCAGATTCAAGGATCAACAACAAGAGAAGGTTGACCAGGGTACTGAAATTCAGAACTTGGTCACAGGTCAGATACAGAATAATACTGATCCGTCAGGAAAAGGTACAATAGGGAATCTGCAAGATTAGAATGAAGCTCAAATGAAAACTCCTAACAACAGGTCTCAAAGCAAAATGAGTAAGAAGAAAAGGAATGCAATTAAAAGAAGACAAGAAGCAGAAGCTGTTAGGCAGGGATTAAATGAAGGCACTGCTCACAAATCTCATCCTCCAGGGAAAACTCATGAAACTACAGACAATGATGAGTATAATATTGTTCCATCTGAGGATGAGTTTGACCAAGATACTCATTCCTTGGGGAAAAATAATAATGAGGAAGATGAGACTAGCATTCACCTAATCAAAGCATTTGGATCAACTTTACACCAGGAAGAACTCCAAGAGGTCACTGATCAACAGGGTCTGTCTCCTAGGGGCAGATTAAAGTCCAAACAGGCCAGCAACAACACATCTGCTAACTCTAGCAGACCCAATACCAGGTCTAAGAGTAGAGGTTTTTAATGATTACAACTCTCTTTTGGAATGCCCGGAGTCTTAACACTCAGGGTTCATTAGAAAGAGTTCAAACTCTCAAGAAATTGCACAACATATCCATGATTGCAATCTTGGAACCTTTTGCAGATCAAGTTTATATAAATAGCTACAGAATTCAACTTAGAATGGATCAGGCCTGTTCTAACCAAAATGGGAAAATCTGGATCTTCTGGAATGCTGATATTCAATGTCAAATTCTAGAAAATGAGGATCAACATATTACTTGTGAGCTGAATCATGTAGAATGAAAATAGAAATATATGATCTCTTTCATCTATGCAAAATGTAGGGATCATCTCAGAAGGCCCCTTTAGGATAAACTCATGCAATTTTCAAATAAAGACATTCCTTGGTGCACTATTGGAGACTTCAATGTGATCACTTCTACTGAATAAAATCAAGGAATGGTTCCTTACAACATGAACAAAAGCTTTGATTTCCTTAGTGTTATAGAAGCCTGTGGTTTAATGGATTTGGGGTACAGTGGTCATCACTTTACCTGGTGCAACCAAAGAGCTGCTGAAGCCAGGGTTTGGAAGAGATTGGATAGGGCTATGACCAATGATAAATGGCTTGAACACATGCCTCAGACCACTATAACTCATCTACCTGCAGTAGGGTTTGATAACAACCCTTTGCTAATGGAAATTGTTGTTAGAGAAGGTCATCAGACTAAATATTTTAAGTTTTTGCATTGTTGGGTTGAAAATGAAAACTTCATGCACACTGTTAAGGAATGTTGGGAAAGAGAAGTACAGGGCAACCCAATGTGGAAACTTCACCAAAAAATGAAGAGACTTGTTTCTACCCTTAGTGACTGGTCAAGAAGAGAGTTTGGGGATATTTTTACAGTTGTTAAAGACTATGAAGAACAGGTGAGACAGGCTGAAGAAGAGGTGATGATGAACAATACAGAATCCAATAGAGCTAATCTTCACCACTGTAATGCTAAATATATAAAGTACCTTAAGTTGGAATCCTTTATCCTTAAACAGAAGACTTAGCTCCAATGGTTTAAGGATGGGGATGCCAACTCAAAGTACTTTCATTCTATCATGAGAGGAAGAAGGAGAAGGCTTTTCATCCATAAAATCAGTATTGATGACAAAGAATGGATTCAGGGTGATGAAAATATTCCCAAGGCTGCCTGTGTTAATTTTTAGGAGACCTTTACAGGGCACGAGAATAGAATTGCAGAGAATATTCTTCAATGTATTCCAAGAATGGTTAGAGAGGAACAGAACCAGAATTTACAAGCACTCTCTACCAGAGAAGAATTGAAACAAGCTGTCTATTCTATGACTCCTAATTCTGCACCTGGTCCGGATGGTTTTGGAGGGAAGTTTTACCAAGCTTGTTGGGACATTATCCAAGATGAGCTATTGGAAGCAGTACTTGCATATTTCAGTGGTCACATAATGCCTAAGTTCATGTCTCACTCTTGCTTAGTGTTACTTCCTAAGGTGGAGCACCCTAATAGGCTCAATGAATTCAGACCTATTAGTCTTAGCAACTTCACCAATAAAATTATTTCCAAAATTCTTTGTCTCAGATTGGCTCCCATTCTGCCCCATCTCATCTCGGAGAATCAATCAGGTTTTGTTAGGGGAAGGAGCATCTCTGAAAACATTATGCTGGCTCAAGAGATTACTCATAACATTAAAAATCCTAAGGAAGGTGATAATGTGGTAAACAAGCTAGACATGGCCAAGGCCTATGATAGAGTGTCATGGTCCTTCACTTGTTTAGTGTTGAGGGCTATGGACTTTGGTGAGGTCTTTATTGACTGTGTTTGGAGAACCATGAGCAACAACTGGTACTCAGTCATAGTCAATGGTACTAGACACGACTTGTTTCATTCAACAAAAGGCCTCAAACAAGGTGACCCCTTTTCTCCAGCCCTATTTATTTTAGGAGCTGAAGTTCTGTCAAGAATGCTCAACCTGTTGCATTATGATCCCAATTATAAAGGCTTCCAGATGGAAATTAGAGGTCCTCAGATCAACCATTTAGTTTTGCTGATGATGTAATTATCTTTACTTCTGGGACTAGGGCATCCTAGCAATTGATTATGAAGACTTTGGGTACCTATGAAGCAGTTTCAGATCAGCTTATTAACAAATCCAAAAGTCACTTCATGATCCCTTCCAACACTCCACCTGATATTATGTCCTTAATTCAAGATATTAATGGTTTTTCTCAGAAATATAGTCCTATCTCTTATTTGGGATGCCCTCTGTATATAGGGGGTCAAAGGATTGTCTATTATTCTGAATTAGTGGCAAAAGTGGTGAAGAAAATAAGTGGATGGCATTCTAGAATCCTAAGCTTTAGGGGCAAAGTCACTTTAGTTAAACATAGACGTCTTGCAATCTATACCTATTCACACCATGAAAGCTATATATGCCCTTAAAACCACTCTTAACTATATTAAAAGGGTGACAACTGACTTCTTTTGGGGGCTAGAAAAAGACAGAAAGAAATATCATTGGGCCTCATGGGAAACTCTCAGCTTTCCTTATGATGAAGGAGGCATCGGAGTGAGAAACCTTGAAGATGTATGTATGTCAATGCAATACAAAGAGTGGTGGAAATTCAGAGCCAACAATTCTCTATGGGGTCAATTCTTGAGAGCAAAATATTGTCAAAGATCTAATCCGGTGGCAAGGAAATGGGACACAGGACAATCTTTGGTCTGGAAGTACATGATGAAGAACAAGACCAGCATGGAACCTCACATCACTTGGAGGATCAATTCTGGAACCTGCCTATTTTGGTGGGATAACTGGTTGGGGGATGGACATTTAGCCCAACACTATAATGCTATCACCGGTCATAATAATACCACAGTTTCCCAATTTTTGTTGAATGGACAATGGAATGAGACTATGATCAGACAAAGAGTTCCTCCTCCACTAGTTCCCAAAATTTTGAGCACCAATTTGCATTTGCAAGAGGGAGTCCCTGATGAAGTTGTGTGGACGGCCAATGATAGTGGTGTTTTCTTATGTTCCTCAGCCTGGAATTTATTCAGAAAGAAGAAGGGAAAAAGCATCATCAACACATGACTTTGGCACAAGCACATTCCCTTCAAGATGTCCTTTTCTCTTTGGAGGGCAATTAGGAGCAAACTCCCAACAAATGAGAGGATCACCAACTTTGGAGCTGAACCCGCCAACTGCTTATACTGCAGCAGGCCTGGACTTGATGATATTGACCATATTTTAGTTAATGGTAATTTTGCTAGCTTCATATGGATTTTTTTTGCAACAAGTGTTGGCCTCTCCCACAATCTGAACACTCTGAGAAACCTACTGACTGCCTGGTGGGGAACAGAACACAAAAATGCAGTACATAAACATTTTCTGCACTCATTGCCTATTATAACCTGCTGAAATCTGTGGAAAAATAGATGTTCAGTTAAGTATGGAGGCAAAAAATCTAGCTTCATCAGAGTTAAATTCCTTATTCAGAAGGATATCATAATGCTTCTCCATATTGCCTTTCCATACTTGCAATGGCATGTGGCCTGGCATGACTTGATCAATTATATTGAGGCTTGCAAACATGAGATCAAGATCATTCAGGTTAATTGGAAAACTCCTCCCACCGATAATTTTAAACTCAATATGGATGGTAGTGCAATGAACAACCCGGACAAAATTGGGGGCGGAGGAATTTTGAGGGATCATCAAGGTAACATGATATATGCTTTCAGCATTCCCCTTGGAATTGGCTCAAATAATTTAGCAGAGACACTTGCAGCTCAACAGGGTATCTACTGGTGTGTTCAACATAGTTTTAAGAAGATCATCTTAGAAGTTGACTTAAAGCTGTTGGCTAATTGGATCAGCTACAAATCTAAACCTCTCTGGCAAATTCAACAACACATCAGGGAACTGATGAGACTTGTTAGACAACTAGAATTTTTTGAATGCAAGCACATCTTCAGGGAAGCTAACAATACAACAGATTTCCTTGCAAAGGGAAGCCACAACTCAGACAATATTACACTCATCATCAGCTTCCTACAGTTGCTAAAGGTAGCTACTTGTTAAAGAGGATGGGAGTATCCAATTTCGGAAGGAAGAAAATAAAGAGAATCAAGCAACCACCTTGAGTTTTTGATAGACTCTAGATTAGGTCTTTTATTCTTCTCCATGTAAGGGGAGAGTCTCCCAAGTTTATTGCTTACTAGTTATAATGTACGGAGAGGAGTCCTCTCCTTTAGGCGCATAGTTAGTAGGTTCCTTTTATAGTACGGGGATGAGTCGACTAGCCTTAGTAGAAGGTTGACTCATGTACCACCATAGGTTCGGAGGTAAGGTTTTATGTCCCCCTCCTTGTATTTGTTTAAAAAAAAACCCTAAACCCAAAACCCAAAACCCTAAAATTTAAACACTAAACCCTAAACCCTAAAATCTAAACCCTAAACGCTAAACTTAAAACCCTAAAACCTAAACTTCAACCCTAAACCCTAAATCCTAAACCCTAAACACTAAACCATCAACACTAAACCCTAAACCCTAGATCCTAAGCCCTAAACCCTATACCCTACACCTTAAACTCTAAACCCCAAACCCTAAACCCAAAACACACAAACCCTAAACCCTAAACCCTAAACCCTAAACCCTAAACGCTAAACCCTAAACCATATACCCTAAACCCTAAACCCTAAACCCTAAATCCTAAACAATAACTCTAAATCTTAAACCTTAAAACTTAAAACCTAAACGCTAAAACCTAAACCCTAAACCAAATCCTAAAACTCCTAAACCCTAAATGCTTCACCAAAAACCATAAACCTAAACCCTAAATAGTAAACACAAAACCCTAAACCCTAAACCCTATACCCTAAACCCTAACCCTAAACCCTAAACCCTAAACCCTAAACCCTAAACCCTAAACCCTAACACTAAACCCTATATCCTAAATCCAAACCTAAACCCTAAACCCTAACTATACACCCTAAGCCCTAAACCCTAAACCAACCCTAACGCTACAACTCAAAACCCTAAACCCTAAACCCAAAAACTTCAACCCGAAACCCTAAATCGTGAACCCAAAATCTTATATTGAAACCCTAAACCTTAAGCCATAAAACTAAATCTTAAACCCACCCTAAACAGTAGATCCTAAACACTAGACCCTAAACCTTAAACCCTAAAATGCTAACCCTAAACCCTAAACCCTAACCCTAAATCCTAAACAAAAACCCTAAACCCTAAACCCTAAACCCTAAACCTAAAACCTAAACCCTAAACAATAAACCATAAATCCTAAACCCTAAACTCTAAACCATCAACCCTAAACCCTAAACCTTAGACCCTAAACCCTGTACCCCAAACCCTAAACTCTAAACCACAAACCCTATACCCTAAACCCTAAACTCTAAACTCCAAACCCTAAACCTAAAATCCTAAACCCTAAACCCTAAACCCAATACTGTAAACGCTAAATGCTAAACCCTATACCCTATACCCTAAACCCTATACTCTAACCCTAAACCCTAAACCATAAATTCTAAACACTAAACCCTAAAACCTATACCCTAAATCCAAACTCTAAACCCTAAACCCTAAACCCTAAACCCTAACCCCTAAACCGATCGCTTCCTCATTTCCCAAATTTTTTCTCTCTCTAATTTCTCTCTCTACGCGGGATTCTCTCAATTTCTGAAAAACGGCTACAGTTCCAACGGCTACTATACCACCTGGAAATGGCGCGTGAGCCGCCGGAGGGCCTGTCCAGGCCACCGGACCAATCCCATCAGGAGCGCATGGACCTGAGGACCAAAACCCACCAACAATCGCCCACTACTTCATCCAGCAACTCTGTGAAATTGCGAATTAATGAGGCGATCAATGTCGCGATTTTAGAGAGGGAGTTAGATGGGATTCAAAAAAATATTTCCTCGGATCATACTGATGTGATTCATGAAAATGTGTTCAGGGGGAATGATTCTCCTAGTAAAGATCTACAACATACTATAAAATCATCGGATTTTATCGTTCCAATCGCAAGATCTGAAGAAGCAAATTCTGGGCAAATTGTCGAGGAATCGCCTGAGCCCCGCCTTCAAATTCGAACATCCTCCCAGCAAATTCGAGATGTTTTGAGCACTGGGGTTTACTCCCCAGATGAAGAGCTACACCTCACTAAAATCTCGTGTGAAATGGATGCTCGTATCGCCGGCGACCATGTTTTGGGTGGTGGAGAAATGACACATAAAAAAGCCAACGACGATGATCTTCAAGACAGTCTTTCCGAAGGTAATCAGACTCATTTTACTACTACCTCTGCTAATTTAACTCAAATGCAGGTCTAAGAGGAAACTCCGACTGAGCTGATCGGAATTCAACCACAACAAATAGACAAGCACCAATCGGAAAGTGTAGAGTCAATGAGCAAGCATAGACTCATTCAAAAAGGGAACTCGTCCCATAATCAAGGAAAATCGAATAGCCAAAAAACATCTCGACAAGTAATCGAGGAAAGGGAAATTGAAGTGCAATCCAAAGAGCAAGAACAAAGAACAGGGCCAGCTCCAAATGCTCAGCTCGTGACTGAAGGCAACAAAGCTATTGAAGTAATTGATGTGGAAGGCTCATCCCAATTCTCCTTTGGAGTTAAGATTGTGGATACAAATCCAAACAATGAGGAACAGCAAAAGCCAGGTAAAGAGGTCAATTTGAATGATGTTACTAGTTCTGATCATCTGCAGGTACAACAAGCCAGACACACCAAGTCGCAGGACAACACTCCAAATGCAAAGGGACCTCAAACAGGTAAGTCAGCTGACTCCAAGCTTGTTCTCAATTCTGTAGTTCTGAGTGATAGTGAAGATCAATTACGCATGAATGCAAAGGGGCAACAGGCAGGTAGCCTAATTGTACAGGAACAGGTAAGGGGAGACATTAGACCCCATCATCAAGTGAATCAACACCAGAACAAGGGAACTGATAATCTGGTGCACAATCAGCCTTACAACCCAGGGGGGAGTTCTGAACCTAGTAGTTATCACAGCGCCTTCCCTAAGATTTCCAATAACTTTGAGAAACATGTGCCTCTGAACCAAAAAAGTCAGTATACTAACGACCCAAATCAATCCAATGATCAGACCAATCCCAGTAACATTCACCATACCAAAAAGGACCAGACTAGTGAACCAGCACCCTACACAGTTGTGCAAACCATGGCTGCTAAACTTAGGCACAATCAAGCCCAACAAGAAATTCCCATAGAGCTGGTGCCTCCTAAAATTACATCCAAACAAGGACTGCCGGCTGTCATTTACGATATGGATGATTTTATGACAAAGTTGGCTGTGGATTGCAAATACACTTTGATAGGAAAATTTAGCAGCACTATGCCTAAGATGGAACTCATCAGAAAGAGCTTTATCATGCAAACTCAACTAACGGGCGGTGCCAATATAGCTCATTACAATGCAAGACATGTGTTTATTGATTTGGAAAATGAACTCGACTATAACACAGTGTGGACACAACAAAGAATGATTATCGAAGGGAAACTTATGAGGATACAGACCTGGACTCCAAACTTCAGACCTGAGGAAGAAACACCCATTGTACCTATATGGATACTCCTACCAGGGCTACTGTGGCACTGTTTTAAAAAGGAGTTCATAACACCCCTTTTATCTCCTATAGGCAAAGTCTTGTACCTGGACACAACTTCCATTAAGAGAACCAGAGCTAGCATGGCTAAGGTAAAAGTCCAAGTTGACTTAACTAAGGCTAGACCTAGACATGTATGAATTGGGTTAGATGAGGCAGATCTTACTATAGGGAGATGGCAAACGATTGAATACGAAAGTATTCCTCCATATTGTGAGTATTGCAAACATCAAGGACACATGATATATGAATGCAACTTCAAAATAACGGATGAGGAATTCAAGCAAAAGAAGGAACTGGAAATCGAGAAGAAGGACAAAAGTAAAGGGGAACAAATGCCAAAGGCCAATGACAACAAACAAACCAAGGCACGTGATTATGAAGATGAGCAAAACCAAGGCAGCAAAGAAGGTAGACACCAAGGACAAACTGTGCAGCAAAAGGAAGAAGAGTGGCAAACACAAAAAAGAAAAAACAACAAACAGCATGAGGAAAAAAATCAGAAAGCAGTCTGGAGACCTACCTCACCACAGAACAGGAAGAACATCCAACCAACAGGTATAACAAATAACTCTAATCATAATTCATTTACTAATCTAAGCATGCAGGAAGTTCAACAGGAAGACAGGGAGGAGCCTACCAGAAATATGAGGACACAAACACAAGCAGCAAAGGACAGGTCTGTAACAGACCAGAACCAAGCAACTCAGGCACTAAAAAAGGGAAACAAAATGTACACCAAAAGCACAGGTATTGACTCAATGCTCCCAATCCCCACAACCCCTAATAATGTGTCTATTGATTGCAATGAAGAAGTTGAAGGAGGGATGGATGGGGGATGTCAGGATAAACATTCTAACATGCAGGAAGGGGTATCCAAATGGGGGAATTTGACTCATGTTTTGCATGAGGGGGTACACACTGACCATAGTCTAGACCTTAGAGCCTCTGCAACCACTATTGCTCAACAATACAACACACGACAACAGCAGAAATTGCAGCAGCAACAGAAAGAAAATGCAAAATGTATAAAGGAGCACCAGGGTAACACTGCTGAAACAGGGCAGAAGAACCATGATGTTCAGAACAATGAAGTAATCGAGATTGACAAATCCACCCAACAGGCAGGCAAAGGGGAGAATTACAGTCCTAGAGGGGCAGCTATGGCAAAGGATATGGGATCTAAAGCCAGTACTAGCAAACAAGGGACCACACCAAAGAGCAAGAATAAACCTAGTAAAAAGAAGAGGGAAGCAACTAAGAAAAAATTACAAGCACAACAAGACAAGGACCAAAAACAGCAGGAGGAACAGAAGGATCAGGACAGCAACTGTCAGAGGTTTATTATGGTGGATGATCTGCAGGGTATGGATATCACTCCACTTCAAACTCAATATCTTACTCCCCCTCACAAGGATCCTCCAGACAGAGCTGCAGCATGAAAGGTAAATTATGTTCCGGTTATTGACGAATATGATGTGGAGAACTCTGAAGATGAGCTAGATATAGATAATCAATCCCTTCAAGATCAGGATGATGATGATGAGACTAGTGAACTATTGATTAATGCCTTTAGTCCTCACACTACCAATGATCTAGAAGAGGAAATCCACCAAGTATCTAATCAACAAGGATTATCACCAAGAGGACTACATTATGACAAGTTCCTGTCCAAACAAGGGCAGAATCCAAATGCTGCTACAGCAGGCAAACCAAACACAAGGCTCTTTACTTCCAAATCAGCTCAATGATCAGTACACTCGTACGGAATGTAAGAGGGATCAACACCCAAGGTGTTATGGAAAGAATCAAAATGCTCAAGAAGATGCATCATATTTCCATTATATCTATACTGGAACCTTTCACGGACAATACTCATGTTCAGTCCTTTATACACAGAATTCTAAAGGAGAAGAAGGCGACTTTTTATACACAGAATTCTAAAGGAGGATGGGGACTGGATACAAGGTGAGGAGAATATTGCAACTGCAGCCTGTGAGCACTTCCAACAAATCTTCACAGGTGAAGATAAGTTCATCAATGCAGGGCCTCTTGAATGTCTCCCTAGAATGGTTAATCTGGAAGACAATGATAAATTGACTGCCAAGCCTACTTTGGAAGAATTAAAAGAGGTGATTTTTTCCATGAACCCTAACTCAGCAGCTGGACCAGATGGCATGAATGGTTGTTTTTTCCAGAAATGCTGGCAGATTATCAAACACGACCTACTAGAAGTCATCCTAGCTTTCTTTAGTGGGCAGATAATTCCCAAATATTTCTCCCACTCTTGCATTTTCTTGTTGCCCAAAGTGAACAATCCTAATAAACTTTCTGAATTCCGGCCTATTAGTTTAAGCAATTTCACCAGTAAAATTATCTCTAAACTATTAAGCCGGAGATTGGGACCTATCTTACCAAACCTGATTTCTCTCAACCAATCAGGCTTTGTCAAGGGGAGAAGTATTTCAGAAAACATCATGCTAGCTCAAGAGATCATCCACCAGATCAAAAAGCCTAATATTGGGAGCAACGTGGTCATTAAATTGGATATGGCAAAGGCCTATGACAGGGTCTCTTGGTCTTATATATGTCTGGTATTAAGGAAAATGGGCTTTGATGAGATATTCATTGACATGGTATGGAGGATCATGGCAAATAATTGGTACTCAATTATTGTTAATGGAAAAAAGTATGGTTTCTTTCAATCTACTAGAGGCCTAAAGCAAGGTGATCCTCTATCACCTACCCTATTTATTTTAGGGGCTGAGGTCCTCTCTAGATCATTGAACAATATTTACAACAATCCTATCTACCATGGGTTCTTTATGGTGACGAGAGGTCCTCAAGTTAATCACCTTAGCTTTGCGGATGATATTATCATATTTACTTCAGGAAGGAAAAATTCTTTTGAATTGATTATGCATACTCTGAAGATATATGAAGAGACTTCTAGACAGCTAGTGAACAAAGACAAAAGCCACTTTATGGTCCATTCCAATGCATTCAACAGCACTATGGACAGAATTAGGAGAGTTACTGGTTTTAAACAAAAGGAAGGTCCTATTATCTATCTTGGATGCCCCCTGTACATTGGCAGACCAAGAATTATTTACTTTTCCGATCTTATCAACAAAGTGGTTAATAGGATCACAGGATGGAAGGCAAAAATCCTGAGCTATGGAGGCAGAAATACACTAGTCAAGCATGTGTTACAATCCCTCCCCATTAATCTTATTTTTGCTATATCTCCTCCCTCTACAGTTATCAAGCAAATTCAGTGCCTTATGGCAGATTTCTTCTGGGGATGGAAACATGACAGGAAAAAATATCATTGGTCCTCGTGGAAGAATTTGAGTTTTCCGTATGAGGAAGGAGGTATTGGTATGAGGAATTTAAAGGATGTGTGCATGGCTTTCCAATACAAGCAATGGTGGATTTTTAGATCAAAACACACTCTTTGGGGTGAATTCTTGAGAGCGAAATATTGTCAGAGATCCAATCCTATCAGCAAGAAATGGGACACTGGTGACTCCCCTACCTGGAAACATTTAATGCATAACAAAATAAAGATCGAGGAGCACATACATTGGACAATCAATTCTGGAACTTGTTCTTTCTGGTGGGATAATTGGTTAGGAGTTGGGCCTCTAGCACATTTCTCTAATGAAAGCAATAGGTTCAACAACAACACTATGGCTGATTTCTTGATTGAGGGCCACTGGAATCTCGAACTGGTGATACAGCAGGCCCCTCACAGCATGGTAGCAAACATCTTAGATACTCACATTCAATACCAGCAAGGTATACCAGACCAGGCCGTGTGGAAACTTAATGCTGATGGAAATTTCTCTTGTTCTTCTGCCTGGAATGAACTCAGGGAAAAATGGAGCAGGTCTCAGTTTTATGCCTTTATTTGGCATAAAAACATCCCCTTTTAAGTGCTGATTTTTACTATGGAGGGCATTAAAAGGCAAACTACCTACTAATGAAAAAATTACCAGCTTTGGGAAAGAACCAGTAGCCTGTTTCTGCTGCGACAGACTTGGGTGGGATACTATCGATCATATTTTCAACACTGCTCACTTTGCAACACATGTATGGAGGTACTTCGCTCGACATGCTGGAATCCAAACAGACCACACCCCTCTTATTCATCTAATCATGAGATGGTGGTCGACTAATCCAACAATGAAGCTCACAAGTTAACTCTCCAAGCTACTCCAATATTAATTTGCTGGAATGTATGGAAGAATAGGTGCGCGAGGAAATATGGAGGGAAGCAGTCTAACGTCTCTAGAGTTATGTATGCAGTATATAAGGACAACTACAATCTTCTGACTACCACCTTCCCCTACATCAGCTGGCCTTCGAACTGGACAGAATTGATCAAACAGGCAAGGAAATGTTTTCATGAGACCAAGGTGCTTAAGGTGTATTGGCAGAGACCTCCTGAACAATGGGTGAAATTAAATACAGATGGTAGTGCGTTAAGTAACCCCGGGAGAATAGGTGCAGGAGGTATAGCTAGAGAACACAATGGTGAAATGATCTTAGCTTTTGCGACCTCGCTAGGACATGGAACCAACAATAAGGCCGAAATAGGAGCAGCCATTTTTGGAATGACATGGGTACTTCAACTGGGCTACAAGAGTGTCGTGCTGGAAGTGGATTCACAACTACTGGTGGACTGGATCATGCAGAAAACCAAACCTCCATGGAATATCAACACACAGCTACAGCAGCTCCAACAGCTCTTCAGACAAACACATTCTTTTAGATGCAAACACACATTTAGGGAAGCCAACTTTGTGGCCGACTCCTTATCTAAACAAAGTCATAAATTCACATGTCCTCAAATATATAGCAGCAGCCAACAACTACCAAGAGAAGCAAGAGCCTACTATCAATTAGACAAGATCGAGATGGCAAGTTTCAGAAGAAGAAAACTCAAGAGGATCAAAGAACCTCCTTGAATATGAGCATAGCCTACTCATTTTAGCTATGGTTTGAAATTATAGTTTCTTTGAATAGGTTTAGGTTCTTTTTTTTTGTTTTTGGATATTGTAAGGGGAGAGTCTCCCTTATTTATGTTTTCCTAGAACCCTTGTATTGAGAGGAGTCCTCTCCTTAGGTGCATAGTTCTAGGTTTTCCATTATAGTATGGGACTGAGTTGACTAACCTTAGTAGGTAGGTCGACTTGTGACCCACCATAGGATCGGAGGTTAGGTTTATGTCCCCCTCCTTGTACGTTTTTGAGCTCATTTGAACTTTTATTTATGGTAAGGCCTGGGGGTGTTGCTAAGCCCCTGACCCCCCCAAGGGTCGTTCAAATAAAAATAATAATAAAAAAAAAACCCCTAAACCTTAAATCTAAACTCTAAACACTAAACTATAAATCCTAAACTCTAAAATCTAAACCCTAAACCATAAACCATAAATCCTAAACCCTTGCCCTAAACCCTAAATCCTAAACTTTCAACTCAAAACCCTAAACCCTTAAATTTAAATCCAAAACCGTAAACCCTGGACACTAAACCCTTAATCCTATACCCTAAACCCAAAACCTAAACCCTAAACCATAAACCCTAAACCCTAAACCCTAAAACCTAAACCATAAACCCTAAACTGTAAACCCTAAACCCAAAACCCTAAACCTAAACCATAAACCCCAAACCTAAACCATCTACCCTAAACCCTACACCCTAACCCTGAACCCTAAACACTAAACCCTAAATACTAAACCCAAAACTCTAAACCCTTAACCCTATACCCTAAACCCTGAACCCTAAATCCTAAACCCTAAACCCTAAACCCATAAAAAAATAAACAAAAACAATAACAACCATTAACCCTAAACACTAGACTCTAAACCCTAAATGCTAACCCTAAACGCTAAACCCTAAACCCTAAACCCTAACCCTAAAACTAATTCCTAAACCCTAAAATCAAATTCTAAACACTAAAACCTAAACCCTAACCCTAAATCCTAAACCCTCAATCCTAAATCCTAAACTCTAAATGTTAAACCTTAAACCCTAAATCCTGAATACAAACTTTAAACACTAAACGCTAATCCTAAACTCTAAACCCTAATCCTTAAACCCTAAACACTAAGCCCTAAACCCTAAACCCTAATTCAAAACATTAAGCCCTAAACACATAACCCTAAACCCTAAAACAAAAACCCTAGATTTAAAACCCTAAGTGATAAAACATACACCTGAAACCCTTAACCATAAACCCTAAACCCTAAACCTTTAACCATAAACCCTAAACCCTAAATAATAAACCATATATATTAAACCCTTAACCATAAACCATAAACCCTAAACCATAATTAATAAACCCTAAACCATAAACCATAAAGACTAAACCCTAAAGCCTAAACCATATACCCTAAACCCTAAACCTTAAACCCTAAACCCTAAAACCCAAACCCTA